TTCCTCTGCCCTGTATCCAATCTGTCGACACAGATCTGGTCACGGAGGCACTCTTGCTTATCAGCGATGTACAGGAACTCAGGGGATAATATTACATTCAAGTCCGTGACTCCAGTTACGGATGTATTTTATAGCGTAAACAATATGTCCCTTTCCCAGCACCCAGACCATGATTCCTCACAACAAATGTCAGCCCCCTCACAAGTAAATATCGTATACAACTTTTAAACAAGAAATGAAGATGTGTCATAAAGCCATTAAAAGGCAACTAACCATTTCTAATTTTGGGTCAACTGTAAGAAATACACAATTTTCAGTCTTGTAAATAGTATATATTGTTAGTAAAACATTTCTCTGTAAATGACGCCCGCATCTTGGGAAAGTATCATACAATTTAACCAGATGATATCAGTTGCACAATTTGACAAATTGATTTTATTTGGTTGGTTATAAATTGTATTTCATTAATGGTATAGGTTGATTGATCTGTATTTAATTTTTGTGTTTACGAAAAATGCTGGTGGCATATACTCCTGGCATAAAATTTGTTAATGTATGTTGCCAAGTGACAGCATATAAATCTTGATATTATTTTACAGCTTCAAGCACTGAAACGGGTTGGCGGCAAAGACATGCATCAGACCAACTGTAGAGTTTTAACCCTTGGCCATAGGTCAGTACAATGTAAAAGGAATTGGAAACAAGAGAAGCTTTCCTACAACAAGACTGTAGAAACTGATCAGAGGGGGGAAGTTTTCCTTCTAAAGTAATACACAACACTACTGTTTTAATATGATAGCACTTGGGACCAAATAAACATGTCCAAGTGAAACAACTGGTTTAGTCAAAGGTCAGATTATCATTTTTGACCACAGGACATCACAATCATTTCTGCATTTGTTCTAAGCCCACTCAGATTTATCAAGTAAACCTGTTGCTGCTTCTTTATGGACCAAGTTTTTGTTGCTCGGTATGATTGAGATTCAGATGATGTTTTAATATGCTGATTTTGGTTATCTGATGCTAGTGTCTAACGTTTGGGCACTAAAATAATCATAAGAATATAAATGCTCATTTTTATACAAACATTACAATTGCTTTAAAGCCATGTGTTGACAGCAAACATTCTGTTTCAGAGATGCGGCTTTGGCCAACTGCCCAACATCTACTGAAACAGATATAGCAAGCTTCAAAGGTTAAATTTGAAACAAACATGCCCCAAGAAAGCTCTTGAGAGAGCGTAATGAGCAGCGAGGCAAGCCACAACAGCTGATAAATCGGATTCAACTATATGTTGGGAGTGTGTGTTAAGCGTGTGTGTGTGTTTGTATGGTTAATTTAGTCTGATTAAATAATACTAAAACCCTTTCCGTGCATTTTGTATGTTATTTTTGTGTAATATGCATTGAAACAGTTGAAAGATTACGCGAGGTTTGACTCTGTGTGTCGTCAACCAATACTTTTGTAACTTCCTTACCTGGACAATATGTTTACAGTAACTTCCTCACCTGGACAATATGTTTACAGTAACTTCCTCACCTGGACAATATGTTTACAGTAACTTCCTCACCTGGACAATATGTTTACAGTAACTTCCTCACCTGGACAATATGTTTACAGTAACTTCCTCACCTGGACAATATGTTTACAGTAACTTCCTCACCTGGACAATATGTTTACAGTAACTTCCTCACCTGGACAATATGTTTACAGTAACTTCCTTACCTGGACAATATGTTTACAGACATTGCTCAGGGATGGCAACACCTGCGTTTTGAGTATATGTGCTTCTTAATTGTCTGTTCCTCTTGTCCGCTTCATCTGAGAAGTGACTTAACAGTTAAATCAAACTTTAAACCCCTCAAAATGCCCCCGTGAGGTACCTCTACCAGCCGGGGGAACACGAAAGGGACACTCGGAAACGAGCCACCGATCCGATATGGTCAGTCAAAACTTACAACATAGATAAAGTGGACATCAAAGCTGACGAGCCGAACTTGTACTACTTGAAAGATGGGCCAGGGAGAGGTTCCGTTAGAGAGGAATTATTAGTCATACCGTACGGCACAATGTTACCCTCCCTCAAGCAAAATATTTAACACTTACTGTTGAGTAATCCCAATAGTATCCTGTAACCAACTGTCTCCTCGAGGTCAACACGACATAGTGTCACCTGATCAGGATCGCGGTCATAGTGACACAATAGTGTCACTAGCCCAGCGGATAAGTGCAGTTTTTTCACTGAATTGTGCACTTTATGTTACAAGCATGAAATTTGGCATGATTGTAGCTTATACCATTCTTATTAAATAAAGATCGAGAGGCCTCGCAGATTTTTTATATTTTTCATGTTTTTGGGGAAAAAAGCGAAAAATGATAATTGTTTCTACTATTTTCATCATAACTTTTTCTTAAATTCTCCAATTCTCAAACATCATATATCACATTGTAGAATATTCATAGCTGATCATTTTCCATATATACATGTCTTGTCTATCTTTAATGGTTAGGTCTATGGAAGTTAATTTATATCATGACAACCCGAAAAAGGGAAAATTGACGGACATTTTTCAAAATGGCCGCCATATCGACTACAACAGTAAAATAAGTATTAGATCATCCCATGATCTAACATTTTTTTATCATTTCTTTGCAAATTCAAAACGAAAGCCTCGCAGATATTGGCCATTTTACATTTTTCGGCGAGATCTAAGGGCCTGACAAAAGCTTTATTTGCGAAATAAAGCTTTACAGCGACCTTTGTTGAAAAGTGATCTCGTACCCCCAGTATATCTACTACTTCCAGTGATCAACAGCATGAGCATCGATCTACGCATTTGGGATACGATGACATGTGTCAACCAAGTCAGCAAGCCTGACCATCCAATCCCGTTAGTCGCCTCTTACGACAGGCAAGGGTTGCTGAAGACCTTCTAACCTTCACGGGTGTTTTAAATAGTAGCCTAACCAACCATAGCTTCTCCTTAGGCCCACAGTGATTTAGTTGACGAGTAAGTACTGACTGACTGAGTTTAGCAATATTCCAGCAATATCACGGCGGGGGACACCAGAAATGGGCTTAACACATTGTGCCCATGTGGGGAATCGAACCCGGGTCTTCGGCTCGACGAGCCAACGCTTTAACCACTAGGCTACCCCACCGCCCTGACGAGTAAGTAAGTACTGGTGGGTAAGTGATGGAGGTTGGTCATATAGGGTACTCAGGTTTTCATAGGACAATCAAGAGTTGGATGAATTTTCATGTATTTATTTTTATATATATGGTATTTGATTTAGTTATGTGAATTTTTATTGAATGTTTTCATAAATTCATCAAGTATTTCGCATGTAAACACTTTGTTTTAAGATGTCATTATTTTGAGCACGTTATCTGTTGTTCAATTCATTAATCGGTTGTTTCATTTCTAAAACAATATTTAGTGATGTCATTATTTGTTAAATATCTTTACTTAAAGGTCACATGCAACGTAAAACACAACTTTGCTGATTCTGATACCTTTCGGTATGGACTTACGAAAACAAATCGTCAAAAATGCAAATTCAACTTATAAAGTTGAAAAATAACGCGATGAAAAAAACCGCGCGAAATCGGAGTTCAAACGTTTCACTAATTTTCCCCCGACTTTTCGGGGAAAACTGGGTTTCAACATCTGGGCTGCGCCCATAGCACATACGCAGTGAAATAGGTTCGCGCAGCTTGGAAGCGGGTTGTCCGGTGAATACTCGGTGAAGGCTTTGGTGTGAGCTATTTTTCTAATGTTTTGTTGATATCTCACAGGCGCGAGCTTTTTTATATGTTATGACAGTAAATAAACTGTTTATATAATTTCATTTGTCTATTTCACCACACGTTCTTCTTACCGAGTCACTTTCTCAGTTCGATACTTAAAATGCAATGTCATTATTTAGCGTTGACAGAATTTCTAACTGTGATATAGATATGTCGTTGTCACAGACAAAACTCAATGTCTTGTTTTATTGACACCTGTGTGTCTGCCTGCCTGTCTGCTAAAGACAATATTCAATACACAGCTGCTATCACTGACCACATGCAATTTGAACTTAACACCAATCAGGCTATACACCATAAACAAAATGCATTGATTTATGGCCCGAGTTCGGTCTCTGTCACATTATGTAATTACACAGACAGGCAGGTGTGATACTTGAACACATGACATGTTATGATGTCTGTTGATTGTAAAATGTTATACACAAAAAATGAGCATGTATTTACAAAACCCAACATCTCTATATATACACACACAATGAGCCGCGAGGGCATCTGCAAATGAACCAGCCGTTACACTTGAGTGCACACCCACCCGCTCTGACTGGGTTCGGTATCCCGGCTGCTTCGTTTCTAGGGAGGTAAACCCAAGTACACAATATTGCACTTTTGATTTGCGATTGTACGCTTATAATTTTGTTTATATGTTTTTTCATAACTAGCAATGTATATTATATGTCATGAATAAGTGATAATTGTGTTTTAATTATGTTTGATTTTTTGGTTGCATGTGACCTTTAAATAAATACTTTCATCAATGAAATAATTATCAAGGCTATTGTGTACAAAGAGAAAATAATTCCACCATTCATAGAAGCAGTTGTATGTCCTTGAATCAGGGAGACTATATAAGAGTTGTTGTAGAGTTACAGAGTATCCCTGCTTGAATGTATCACCCATCTCTGTTAAAACAGGGATAATCTACAGCACGTGTAAGTCTGCTATTCTCTATGGTTAAAACCAGACGCGTGTTAACAGTCCTAAATATGCCAAGTCATCAAAAATAAGAATCCTGCTATGATGCTGGAATGTAAAGCTGTCAAAAATGAAAAACAAAAACACACGCAAACACAAGACTTGTGTTTCAGATCGACAGGCGTTTTTATTACGAAGCGCTGTGTTTTCAAAACTCACAGCAACACCATTACAGATCTTTACTGAAAACGGAGTTTATCCAAGGGAAGTAACTGTTATGCATCGTCTCTTTGAGATCTTTGTTGATGTGTGAGATTTGTGACTCTTTTCAACGATGGCTGATAAAATAAGCGGGGTATGATCAATTATATTTAGTTTGCACCTCACACATCTAATAAATGGCTGATTTAGTGTCAACGTTTGGTGTTTATTATCGCTGGATCGATAACTGTACCCTACACATTGACCACAAATGCGACTCGTAGTCCTAAGTAAAGCAAAATTACCACATGCCCTGAGAAAAGGTTTAAGACAAGTTGCATGACATATCTCTTTTCAACGATGTGCCTATGCGTAATAGAATGACGCCTTTGATCAAAGATTCAGAGGAAAAAATTAAACGTTAAAACAAAATTGCGATTTGTATTAGAATGTGCGGTACGTTGTGACCACAGGGGCTTGTGTTGTATTGCTGAAAACAATACGTCCCAGGCTAGGTCCAACACTCGTTCACTGAAAGCCATCTACAATAAGTAAAGGGATGTAACACACACAAACACCCACTTGCATAATAAATAGAAGGCATGCTTGGAAACTGTCTGAATAAAATTTACAGAAAAAATGTTTGTGCATCTCGTCTTCAAATTAGTTTTAGGGGAACCCGACAATGCATGTATACTCTGATTTGTACCCAGTATATTTGTGCATATATACACAAATGCTTGATGTTATATAATCCATACCGACTTTACCAACTGCATGACTCTTACCCAAATATGTGAATCCTTGCACATTGAAGTATTTATAGGATTTTGTACATTACTTGATTCTATTCTTACCTGAATGGAGGAGATGAACATGAATGGCAGTGCCTGAATTATTTTGTACAGTCTCTCTGAGTATCCTCAATATTTATAACACTTTATCAACTGCATGACTTGTACCCCAAAAATATGAAACTGTACGCAATGAAGTATTCATAGGATTTTGTACATTACTTCTTTCTTGTATTACCTCCCAGATAGCATTCGGACGTTGGCCCAACGTTGGCAATGTTGCCCAAACCATTGCCAATGTTGGGCCAACGTCTGAATGCTATCTGGGCTGTTGAGTGAGTTTTAATGGGTAGAAATGAAGATAGACGACAATTATTGCGAATTATTTTGTACTATCTCTCTTTAGAATCCTCAACACAAAGGTCAGTTAGAGTAAATGCTAAAACAACTGGGAACATGAAACTTAATTATGTTTAAATGGTCAAGTGAAAATATGAATAATCTTTGTTTTGGGATTTCATAGCACTATACAGGGCTTGCTATTGATATAGATCATATAGATCAATAGTCAATTCACGTTGTATTATTGATAACAGAATCTTTTTCTCGGTAATTTCTTTGATGATATTTCCAATTATCAATCCTTTTGGCCATCCCTAACACTATGTGAGTGATTTTGTGCTCCTTTTAGCAATATTCCAGCGATATCACAGTGGGGGACACCTGACATGGGCTTCACACTACCCATGTAGGGAATCGAACCTGGCAGGGGCAGATACAGCTTTTTGAGAAAGGGGGGGTGCACACTATTGAGAAAAGGAGGGGTGCACATTTCATTTTCACCCGAGTTTTAATCATCATTTAACAAACTTTCAGCACAAAAAGGGGGGTGTGCACCCCTGCAACCCCCCTCTGGATCCACCTATGCCTGGTCTTCATCATGACAAGCAGATGCTTTATCCACTAGGCTACCCCACTTCACTATATGATGTGATCAGTGTAATGTCACTGCACATTAGAAATTGAGGAATTCATGTAAATATGGCTCAGTGTTTAGTTTATAAAGATGCAGAAATTATTACTTTTCCTTTAGATTTCTATTCCACATCTGGTTAAGATAAGTTATTCGTGAAAAAACTATTGATCATTGTAAAATTCAAAACTGTCAACACAGTCATTGATTTCCTGATTCAATAAGTGTGTACATGCTATTTCAGTGTGATAGTGCAAAAATTGCCATTAACAAGGGTTAGCATAAGCAGCCACACACATAAACACACTTGTATGCATGTCACACTTCTATATAGTATGTTTGGTTGATGCAAGTCATTGTATCCCAGTTATGGAGATTGATGCTCATGACCAGATTGTCTGGTCCAGACTTGATTATTTAGCTGGGTTATTGCTGAGTGCAGCCGACCCGTGAAGATCCGGGTTAGAACTGATCTTCAGTAACCCATGCTTGTCGTAAGAGACAACTAACGGGATCGGGTGGTCAGGCTCCTGACTTGGTTGACTCATGTCATCGTATCTCAACTGCGTAGATCGATGCTCATGCTGTTGATCACTGGATTGTCTGGTCCAGACTCGATTATTTACAGCCGCCATATAGCTGGAATATTGCAGAGTCCGTCGTAAAACTAAATTCACTCACTCACTGAGTGCAGCATTAAACAACAACAACAACATCAACAAAAATAGTATAGCCAAAGTAATCCTTTTGTTTCTTCTCACCTGTCATTGCCTTGAAAATGTTTTATAAGGACTTATGTTTTGTGTGTCAGATTTCATATGGGCCATGTCATTTACAGTGAAAGAACTGCTAATCTTACAGTGAAATTGTTGCAGGGTGGTGAACGGATGTTCCACAAGGGAGGTGATGGCAGGCCCAGAGGCTTCGGGTTTGGAGGATTTGCCCTGGGAAAGAAGGAAGATGGGGGACAGCCCAAGGCTCTCTCTGGGTTTGCTGGAGTGCCCGGAATGGCTGGAAACTCCAGCACCTATATGCCGGGTCGAACACTCGGGTACCACATGAACCTGGGCAAGAAGAGGGTCAAGAGCGAAGAAGAGTAAGTGACCTTGGCATTGTCATTATTATTGATCATATGAACACGCATTTCTTAACTGATTCAATAGTATTATTGATATTTTTATGATTAATATTGGGGCTGTTGCTGGAATATTGCTAAAAGCGGCGTAAAACCAAACTCAGTCAGTCAGTCAAGCCCCCAAGCAAGGTTTGTGGGTTCGAATCTCTGCTGGTGCTGCTGTACCAAGCGATCATAGTGTTAGTGATTGTAATATAGACTTATGACAGTCATAGATCTTGGGTTGTTTTGTAAAACAGCAATCTGGTTATGTTTCACAAAAGTAAATGTTTCAGACCTGTAAAACTTCAGGCTTTCCGCCAAGATTAAACTGAACACTGTTCAAAGCATGGGGAGAAAATTGTCTTCATCATATTGCAACTTCTGGCAAATAAACTCCACAACAATCACTTCTGTCATAGGGCTTTGGGGTAGCCTAGTGGTTAAAACATTCACTCATCACGTCAAAAGACCAGGGTTCGATTCCCCACATGGGTTCAATGTGTGAAGCCGATTTCTGGTGCCTCCTGCCGTTATATTTCAGGAAAATTGCTAAAAGCGGCATAAAACTATACTCACTCACTCACTCACTCACTCACTCACTCACTCACTCACTCACTCACTCACTCACTCACTCACTCACTCACTCACTCACTCACTCACTCACTCACTCACTCACTCACTCACTCACTCACTCACTCACTCACTCACTCACTCACTCACTCACTCACTCACTCACTCACTCACTCCTGTCATATATATTAAAGATATAAGGTGAACTGAACAAAATCCTCTATTTTTGACAAATTTATGACATTGTGTGCTCAGTCTTCAATACGAGGGGCGGTGGGGTAGCCTTGTGGTTAAAGCTTTTGCTTGTCACGCTGAAGACCTGTGTTCGATTCCCACATGAGTTACATTGAGTACAATGTGTGAAGCCCGTTTCTGGTGTCACCAGCTGTGATATTGTTGAAATATTGCTAAAAGTGGTGTAAAACCCAACACACTTTTAGCCAAACGCCTCATACTGCTTGTCATACGAGCTTAAAGGAGAAAAACAAAGCATACCAAGATCTATTCCATGAATATTGATACAACTGTTTTTGCACAAAATGTGTACTCATTAATTTATTTTTGCAAACACTGTGCTGTTAGAGTTAAAATGTGTGGGTGTGATTATGGAAACAGTCAGCTGTATTCTATGTGAACTTTGTTAGCTATCACAGTGACACCATTCTTGTATAACTAACAATAGTTGTCAGGATACTTGCACCTGTTCATTAAATGCATAGAGGTATTTCGGTACATCTGAGTCAGGAATTCAGGGTTACAGAGTGTAATCAACAGTCATTAGGGTCTGGGGCTGAAGATGTATCTCTTAACCTAGTGGGAGGGGGTAGCCCAGTAGTTATAGCGTTTGGTTGTCACGACGAATGCCCAGGTTTGATTCCCCACAAGGGCACAATGTCTGAAGCCTATTTCTGGTGTCCCCTGCCATGATATTGCTGGAATATTGCTGGAATATTGCTGGAATATTGCTAAAAGTGGTATACCCAACTCATTCACTCTTAGCTTAATGCCTCGTACTTCTTGTCATACGAGCTTAAAGGATTTTGGGGACGGTGTGGTAGCCAACTGGTTAAAGCTTCACTCGTCATGCCGAGACCTGGTTTCGATTTCCCACATGGGTACAATGTGTGAAGCCCATTTCTGATGTCCCGCTCTGTGATATTGATGGAATTTTGCTAAAAAGCAGGGTAAAACCATACTCACTCACTCACTTAAAGGATTTGGGATTTGATAATTATTTTAATAACAGGAACTATGTATGCCGGAGTGAATATCATTATCCCCCGCAACACGTTTTGCGGGGAGTATTAAAATGGACTCCGTCCGTCCGTCCATCCGTGCACATTTGTCTTTTCCGGAGCAGAACTCTAAAACCGTTCACTATTTCTTCACCAAACTTGGCACGTAGATAGATCTGGTGGTGTACTGGTGCCTTTTGGTAGTTTTGGAATTCTGAATAAAATATTTTTGGCATTTCCATGGCAACAAGTTTGACTAAAACAGAAATTAGTGGTAGTGCACCTTTCCGGAGCAGAACTCTAAACCATTCAATGTTTCTTCACCAAACTTGACACATACATAGATCTGGTGGTGTACTGGTGCCTTTTGGTAGTTTTGGATTTCTGAATAAAACATTTTTGGCATTTCCATGGCAACAAGTTTGACATAGACTGAAATTGGGGATAGTGCTCCTTTCTGGAGCAGAACTTTAAAAACCTTTCAATACTCTCCTTCCACTTTTCTATATACACACCTAAATATTTGACATAATCATAACTCGTAGACATAATCATGAAGAGTATTTTGCCATTGCGGGGATATTGATGACTTTCTCTTCTTGTTTTCTTTTGGCTTGCATAGTTTAAAACCCTGATTCAGTCAGTTAAATTACCAGGTTTGGGTCGGGTCTTGGCAACCTAATGAACAACCACATGAAACTAGCCAGTGACAGTGTTACATTACCTGCTTGTAAAAGTCTTCAATCAGAAGCCACCATGTACAATAGTTACTGCAGGGATTTACATGGAGTCCTGTATTTGAGGGTCCCTGGGACTCATGCTCTTAATTTTCAGGGGTCCTGGTAAAAAAATTGGGGTCCCAGACAGTTGAATCAGAAGCCACGATGTACAGTGAAACCCCATGGGACCAAAATAAAATGCCGGTTTAGCCAGGGTGCTGGATTAGACTGTGACGATCATTTTCCAACATGGCTGCCATTTACACTCGTCAATCTTTCAATCCAGCATGCCGAGAGGAGTGTATTGGATTAAAGGACCTTGCTTGGACTGCTCATACCCATGCCGGCTTAGAGCGTTTGATTCATCGCGCAATCACTACTTCCTGATTATCTAGCGTGCCAAGAGGATTAATTAGTGTATTGGATTAAGGGACCTTGATTGGACTGCTCATACCCATGCCAGTTTTGGCAGTGTTAATTACAGTTAAAATTGCTTGTTGGGACCGGAAAGTCGTGCTGGAATATGGAATAGATAGGTGCTGGATTAGACAATGTTTTAATGATCATAATGTCGTTGTAAAATGGCGGGACTAAAATTTTATGCTGGTTTTGACAGTGTGCCGGATTAGACTGGTGCTGTAGTTGGTAGGTTTCAATGTACAATAGTTACTGTAATCTTTGAGCTCACTGGGTCTTGAAGAAATTAAGACAGTTTGAAGAGTTTTGCAAAACTTTGTTATAATAGGAGTCATCACCATCATAAGGACTTGTGACTTCAGTGATGTTTGTTCAGATTTAATTCTTGTTACCGCTAAACTAATACCTAAGAACATCCCATAACTAGTCTCTTCAGAAGGATGTTTCATCTGACCACTCAGACTGTCACCTACCTGATCGGTTTAGTGACAGTCGGAATGTGTTATATTATGATGCAAGCCTTGAAGATTAACATGGGGTTTTCCAAATGATAGTTATAGGCTCGATGACTTAATTGTTCAAAATATTTGTCTGTCTCTTGCTTCTGTGGTAAAAAATCTTTTACACAGAAACAATTTTCCATAGCTTATTGGAAGTACTGTCGTTAATCTTTGCTGTCTATCATACCCTCCAGTATTTCTTTCAGGTTTAAAATGTTGAAAATATTTTCCACTGTTCAATATTTAAAGTTTACTTTTCCTTTAGTTACATCAGCCTATACTAGTCCAAATAATGTGACAAATTGTAATTGTATTTTGTAATTATAATTGCAGGTCCCTGCTTCTGTCAGACGTGAAATGTTCAAGGGATGACTGTTCTATGGTGATATGATGGTGTCATGTTGCAGGTATTTTGATGATGACGAGGAGGAGTCTGGCTTGGACTACCAGCCGGCCCCTGGGAGCCCCGGCACCAACCGCAATGACAGCGACAGTGACGACCCCCTGGATGCCTTCATGGCTGGGCTGGAGGTAGGTGTCCATCTGTGACCCTGGGGTTGAATCTCAGTTCACCCTTGTGCTTGTAGGTTTTACCACAGCGGTGAAGGTCTGAGACCTGGGGCACTTCAGGCCAACAAGCTGACATTTCTTGATATTACTGGAATACTGTTCAAAGTGTCGTTAGACGCAACTTAGTCTCTGAATAGTAATAAATAATCCTGTTTAAATTGAAAAGGAGACCCAGTGAGATGGGAGATTCAGAACCAGAGTAAATCTCCTCTTGCTTCATTTATGAAGCTCTAGCATTGCAGAAGGGCTGGGCGGAAGGGAAAATAATGCGGTTCAGGGCTCACCTCTAGCAACAAGCTGCTTCTAACCTCCCATGTTGCACCTGATGCAAATAGCTACAGACATAAAATACAGCACACACACTGACATTCCTTGATATGAAGACAGTTCAAAGTGTTGTTAGCTTAAACACTCACCCACAGCAACAGGACTTCCCATGATGCATCTGATGCAGAGAGCTTCATGGCCCTGTGACTGAGAACCCCCACCAGGCCCAGTGACAGAGGTCCCCTACCAAGATGCCCATCAGTATCCCCCATTAGGCCTGTGACTGAGATCCCCCACCAGACCCTGTGACTGAGATCTCCCAGCAGGCCATGTGACTGAGATATCCACCAGGCCCTGTGACTGAGATCCCCCACCAGACCCTGTGACTGAGATCCCCCACCAGACCCTGTGACTGAGATCTCCCAGCAGGCCATGTGACTGAGATATCCAGCAGGCCATGTGACTGAGATCCCCCACCGGGTCCTGTGACTGAGATCCCCCACCAGGTCCTGTGACTGAGATCCCCCACCAGGTCCTGTGACTTAGATCCCCCACCAGGCCATGTGACCGAGATCCCCCACCACGCCCTGTGACCGAGATCCCCCACCAGGCCATGTGACTGAGATCCCCTACCAGGCCATGCGACTGAGATCCCCCTCCAAGCTGTGTAACCGAGATCCCCACTTGGCCCAAAGACTCGTATCTGTTACCACACCCTTTGATTGAAATCTCCTGCCAGGCCCACATAAATGAATCACCTGTCTGTTTCTATCCGATTGAACAATTGGGCTGATTGTACTTTACTCCATTCTCCTACATGAGGGTGAGATATTGAAGATGATAGTTTCTTTGCATCCACAGAACAGCCTGTCTACAGGTCAACCAGCTGGAGCCAGTGTCAGTACAGGCATGAAAGAAGAAAAGAAGAAAGGAGATAAAAAGTGAGAGAAATTTAGTTTTTGATCCATAAACTGCACTTAAGTTAATGTCTACCTTGCAGAATCAGCAACATCAGACAGTCTACCCTGGTTATAATGCCCAAGGTTACCAGAATGGATTTCCCATCAATGAAATTCCTTGGCTATAATGCCAAACTGGGTATAAAGCCAGTCTAACATTTCTGAGAACAATGTTCCAATTCCTGGTTGTAATGCCAAACTTGGTATAAAGCCAGTCTAACATTTCTCAGAACAAGTATTCCAATCCTCTGGTTGTAATGCCAAACTGGGTATAAAGCCAGTCTAACATTTCTCAGAACAAGTGTTCCAATCCCTGGTTGTAATGCCAAACTTGGTATAAAGCCAGTCTAACATTTCTCAGAACAAGTGTTCTAATCCCCTGGTTGTAATGCCAAACTTGGTATAAAGCCAGTCTAACATTTCTCAGAACAAGTGTTCCAATCCCTGGTTGTAATGCCAAACTTGGTATAAAGCCAGTCTAACATTTCTCAGAACAAGTATTCCAATCCCCTGGTTGTAATGCCAAACTGGGTATAAAGCCAGTCTAACATTTCTCAGAACAAGTGTTCCAATCTCCTGGTTGTAATGCCAAACTTGGTATAAAGCCAGTCTAACATTTCTCAGAACAAGTGTTCCAATCCCTGGTTGTAATGCCAAACTGGGTATAAAGCCAGTCTAACATTTCTCAGAACAAGTGTTCCAATCTCCTGGTTGTAATGCCAAACTTGGTATAAAGCCAGTCTAACATTTCTCAGAACAAGTATTCCAATCCCCTGGTTGTAATGCCAAACTTGGTATAAAGCCAGTCTAACATTTCTCAGAACAAGTGTTTCAATCTCCTGGTTGTAATGCCAAACTTGGTATAAAGCCAGTCTAACATTTCTCAGAACAAGTGTTCCAATCTCCTGGTTGTAATGCCAAACTTGGTATAAAGCCAGTCTAACATTTCTCAGAACAAGTATTCCAATCCCCTGGTTGTAATGCCAAACTTGGTATAAAGCCAGTCTAACATTTCTCAGAACAAGTGTTTCAATCCCCTGGTTGTAATGCCAAACTGGGTATAAAGCCAGTCTAACATTTCTCAGAACAAGTGTTTCAATACCCTGGTTGTAATGCCAAACTTGGTATAAAGCCAGTCTAACATTTCTCAGAACAAGTGTTCCAATCCCCTGGTTGTAATGCCAAACTGGGTATAAAGCCAGTCTAACATTTCTCAGAACAAGTGTTCTAATCCCCTGGTTGTAATGCCAAACTTGGTATAAAGCCAGTCTAACATTTCTCAGAACAAGTGTTCCAATCCCTGGTTGTAATGCCAAACTGGGTATAAAGCCAGTCTAACATTTCTCAGAACAAGTGTTCTAATCCCCTGGTTGTAATGCCAAACTTGGTATAAAGCCAGTCTAACATTTCTCAGAACAAGTGTTCCAATCCCCTGGTTGTAATGCCAAACTGTGTGTAAAGCCAGTCTAACATTTCTCAGAACAAGTGTTCCAATCTCCTGGTTGTAATGCCAAACTGGGTATAAAGCCAGTCTAACATTTCTCAGAACAAGTGTTCCAATCCCTGGTTGTAATGCCAAACTTGGTATAAAGCCAGTCTAACATTTCTCAGAACAAGTGTTCCAATCCCTGGTTGTAATGCCAAACTTGGTATAAAGCCAGTCTAACATTTTCTCAGAACAAGTGTTCCAATCCCCTGGTTGTAATGCCAAACTGGGTATAAAGCCAGTCTAACATTTCTCAGAACAAGTGTTCCAATCCCCTGGTTGTAATGCCAAACTGTGTGTAAAGCCAGTCTAACATTTCTCAGAACAAGTGTTCCAATCCCCTGGTTGTAATGCCAAACTGGGTATAAAGCCAGTCTAACATTTCTCAGAACAAGTGTTCCAATCCCCTGGTTGTAATGCCAAACTGGATGTAAAGCCAGTCTAACATTTCTCAGAACAAGTGTTCCAATCCCTGGTTGTAATGCCAAACTTGGTATAAAGCCAGTCTAACATTCTCAGAACAAGTGTTCCAATCCCTGGTTGTAATGCCAAACTTGGTATAAAGCCAGTCTAACATTCTCAGAACAAGTGTTCCAATCCCTGGTTGTAATGCCAAACTGGGTATAAAGCCAGTCTAACATTTCTCAGAACAAGTGTTCCAATCCCTGGTTGTAATGCCAAACTGGGTATAAAGCCAGTCTAACATTTCTCAGAACAAGTGTTCCAATCCCTGGTTGTAATGCCAAACTGGATGTAAAGCCAGTCTAACATTTCTCAGAACAAGTGTTCCAATCCCCTGGTTGTATTGCCAAACTTGGTATAAAGCCAGTCTAACATTTCTCAGAACAAGTGTTCCAATCCCTGGTTGTAATGCCAAACTTGGTATAAAGCCAGTCTAACATTTCTCAGAACAAGTGTTCCAATCCCTGGTTGTAATGCCAAACTGGATGTAAAGCCAGTCTAACATTTCTCAGAACAAGTGTTCCAATCCCTGGTTGTAATGCCAAACTTGGTATAAAGCCAGTCTAACATTCTCAGAACAAGTGTTCCAATCCCTGGTTGTAATGCCAAACTTGGTATAAAGCCAGTCTAACATTCTCAGAACAAGTGTTCCAATCCCTGGTTGTAATGCCAAACTGGGTATAAAGCCAGTCTAACATTTCTCAGAACAAGTGTTCCAATCCCTGGTTGTAATGCCAAACTGGATGTAAAGCCAGTCTAACATTTCTCAGAACAAGTGTTCCAATCCCTGGTTGTAATGCCAAACTTGGTATAAAGCCAGTCTAACATTCTCAGAACAAGTGTTCCAATCCCTGGTTGTAATGCCAAACTTGGTATAAAGCCAGTCTAACATTTCTCAGAACAAGTGTTCCAATCCCTGGTTGTAATGCCAAACTTGGTATAAAGCCAGTCAGAACATTTCTCAGAACAAGTGTTCCAATCCCCTGGTTGTAATGCCAAACTTGGTATAAAGCCAGTCTAACATTTCTCAGAACAAGTGTTCCAATCCCCTGGTTGTAATGCCAAACTTGGTATAAAGCCAGTCTAACATTTCTCAGAACAAGTGTTCCAATCCCCTGGTTGTAATGCCAAACTGGGTATAAAGCCAGTCGAACATTTCTCAGAACAAGTGTTCCAATCCCCTGGTTGTAATGCCAAACTGGATGTAAAGCCAGTCTAACATTTCTCAGAACAAATGTTCCAATCCCCTGGTTGTAATGCCAAACTTGGTATAAAGCCAGTCTAACATTTCTCAGAACAAGTGTTCCAATCCCTGGTTGTAATGCCAAACTGGGTATAAAGCCAGTCTAACATTTCTCAGAACAAGTGTTCCAATCTCTGGTTGTAATGCCAAACTTGGTATAAAGCCAGTCTAACATTTCTCAGAACAAGTGTTCCAATCCCTGGTTGTAATGCCAAACTTGGTATAAAGCCAGTCTAACATTTCTCAGAACAAGTGTTCCAATCCCTGGTTGTAATGCCAAACTGGGTATAAAGCCAGTCTAACATTTCTCAGAACAAGTGTTCCAATCCCTGGTTGTAATGCCAAACTGTGTGTAAAGCCAGTCTAACATTTCTCAGAACAAGTGTTCCAATCCCTGGTTGTAATGCCAAACTGGGTATAAAGCCAGTCTAACATTTCTCAGAACAAGTGTTCCAATCTCCTGGTTGTAATGCCAAACTTGGTATAAAGCCAGTCTAACATTTCTCAGAACAAGTGTTCCAATCCCTGGTTGTAATGCCAAACTGGGTGTAAAGCCAGTCTAACATTTCTCAGAACAAGTGTTCCAATCCCTGGTTGTAATGCCAAACTGGGTATAAAGCCAGTCTAACATTTCTCAGAACAAGTGTTCCAATCCCCTGGTTGTAATGCCAAACTTGGTATAAAGCCAGTCTAACATTTCTCAGAACAAGTGTTCCAATCCCCTGGTTGTAATGCCAAACTGGGTATAAAGCCAGTCTAACATTTCTCAGAACAAGTGTTCCAATCCCCTGGTTGTAATGCCAAACTTGGTATAAAGCCAGTCTAACATTTCTCAGAACAAGTGTTCCAATCCCCTGGTTGTAATGCCAAACTGGGTATAAAGCCAGTCTAACATTTCTCAGAACAAGTGTTCCAATCCCCTGGTTGTAATGCCAAACTTGGTATAAAGCCAGTCTAACATTTCTCAGAACAAGTGTTCCAATTCCCTGGTTGTAATGCCAAATTCCTTTTGCCAGGGGGCAGTGGGGTAGCCTAGTGGTTAAAGCGTTTGCTCGTCACGCTGAAGACCCGGGTTCTCTTCCCCACATGGGTACAATGTGTGAAGCCCATTTCTTGTGTCCCCCGCCGTGATGTAGCTGGAATATTACTAAAACTTAAAAAGTGGGGTAAAACCATACTCACTCTCTCCTTTTGCCAGGTGATCATACTTGGCGCACCAACTGCTATGATTAAGGCTAAGGTAGTTGTTTAGGGGCGGTGGGGTAGCCTAGTGGTTAAAGCGTTGGCTCGACGATCCGTCAGAAGACCGAGGTTGATTCCCCACATGGGCACAATATGTTAAGCCCATTTCTGGTGTTCCCCGCCGTGATATTGCTGGAATATTGCTAAAAGCGGCGTAAAACCAAACTCAGTCAGTAAGGTAGTTGTTTAATCCTTCTTTAACGTAATTAAGAATGAATCCTTTAGACTTGTTTCAACAGGTGATATTTTACAGATGCTAGGTATGACTCAATTAGATCCAGGAAAGCCACTGCTCCGTATAAATTGATGTTTTTACATATGACTGCCATGGCTCAAACTGATGGAAATCATATATTGTGTGAATAAATTATGGACATATTCCGTAAACAAACAACTGTTTTCATTAATGACTTCATTACACCCCAACGGATTCCACCTTGTCAATATGGTGCTAATTGCTTTGCTATGTTCAGTCAGTGCACAAAAAATAACAATGTTATATTTTTCTCTATTGGTATTGCATATTCATGAACTTGATAAATGTATGTA